CAATATCGTGATGGTGGGGAGGAAGGTTTAAAGTGTACCTGTCAGTAATACACAGTGAAGTCCATTAAGTCATTGGTCCCTAATAGAAGTCCCTTACTGGATTACATTCCCTTGATGTGGCATGGAGAGGTCCCCAACTAACACGGCCACCTTTGTAAATAGCAAGACCCCCATCCCACTACTGCCTACACTGGTGGACTGAAGTCCAAACGCTGGGATTCAGTTGTTTTAATACAAAAAACTGTTGTGTTTTAGGGTCGCGCCACAATACCAGATTTCACCAGCAGGTGGCAGATGTCAGATCAATATTGAAAATAATGAAAAACTCAGCAGGGAGAAAATCAAGGGTCTGTAGAAGGTGCGACATCCCTCCGTTGCTATAGGAGGGGTCCCAATCAAATATGGAAAGTTCCGTTTTCCTTGAATCCCCCTCTTGCAAAGATTGCCATACTGCTGAAGTCACTGCCTCAGCAGTCCGTATGGGACCCATAGAAATAGGCAGGGGCGGACTGACCATTTAGCCACTCGGGCAGTGCCCGAGGGACCGGGGTCAGTATGGGGCCCCATGAGATACCCCTGGTACCTTTCATAGGCTTTTTTGGGTGTAGTTTGAGTGTGGGCAAGTACACAGGGGCCCCATGATTTCCTATTGCCTGGGAGCCCCATGAGTTGTCACTCCGCTCCTGGAAAGAAGCCATCTCCATGTTGTTCTTGGTCTGGTAGCAGTGGGGGGGTGGTACATCCATAGACCCCGAACTAGGAAATTAGAACACAAAAGCCACTACAAAAAGTTACAAAAGAAAAAAAAGTCTGCCCAGGCAAAAGTGATATTTCAAGTACAGGTGGATTTTAGGGGTTGGGTCACCTGTTGGCTTTTTACAGAAATCAGTGGTGAGGCCTCCCACCAGATTTCTCCCACTTAGGGCCCGTTCACACTATGGCATTGCGACACCAAAACGCACATTAATTTGAACGGCCCCCGACCAGGGGCGGACTGACCATTTGGAAACTTGGGCACTGCCGGAGGGCCCGGGGTCAGTAGGGGGCCCCATGAGATGCCCCTGCTACCTTTTTCATAGGCTTTTTTGAGCTTGGGCAAGAACACAGGGGCCCCATGATCCCCTATTGCCCGGGGGCCCCATGAGTTGTCAGTCCGCCCCTGCGCCCAACGCATCTTGGCAACTGACGTGCCTTGCAGCTTAGCCTGCTGCCAAAAATACTGCATGGGCCATTTTGTTTGACAGCGAATTACATGTTGGGATGTTTGCCCCAATGTGTTTCAGGATGAGCATCACCACAACGCGCCAATGCATTTAATGTGTGTTGCGGTAAACCATGTGTTACTGCAACGTCATAGTATGAATGGCAACATTTTCTTCTACAGAAGAGGTCTTTTCATTTTGTTTTTTGTTTTTTTAATTATGGAGAATACAGCAGAAAGTGAAAGTCCAAAAGGGAGTAAGGGAAACCTTTATAAATGGCTGCAGAAGGTTCACAGACCTTGCATTTTAGGGTCGGACCACAATACCAAATTTCACCAGCAGGTGGCAGATATCAGATCAATAATCATAATGGCTGCAAAAGGCTTGCAGACCTTGTAGCTTGAGGGCGGAGATCTCACAAACCCGGTCTCTAAATCAGCCAATGGCTTAGGTTTTTCAGAAACCGGGTTTGTGAGATCTCCGCCCTCAAGCTACAAGGTCTGCAAGCCTTTTGCAGGCATTATGATTATTGATCTGATATCTGCCACCTGCTGGTGAAATTTGGTATTGTGGGCTGACCCTAAAATGCAACAGTTTTGTAGTAAAATGACGAAATCTCAGCGTTTGGCCTTCAGTACATCAGTATAGGCAGTAGTGGGATGGGGGGGGGGGGGGGGGTTCTTGCCATTTAAAAAGGCGGCTGTGTTAGCTGGGTACCTCTTCACGCTACCTCTCTTCACGCTACATCAAGTATAGAATATAGTTCACTTTGAAAAATCTAAGCCAATGGCTTAGGATTTCAAAGTGAACTATATTCTATACTTGATGTAGCGTGGAAAGGTCCCCAGTTACCACAGTCGCCTTTGTAAATGGCAAGACCCCCCCCCCCCCCATCCCACTACTGCCTATATTGGTGGACTGAAGTCCACATGCTGAGATTCCGTTGTTTTACCACAAAACTTGCATTTTAGGGTCGGACCAAAGTACCAAATTTCACCAGCAGGTGGCAGATCAATAATCATAATGGCCACAAAAGGTTCGCAGACCTTGTAGTTTGGGGCGGAGATCTTGCAAACCCAGTCTCTGAAAAATTTAAGCCATTGGCTGATTTGAAGTGAACTATATTCTATACTCAATGTAGCGTAGAGAGGTCCCCAGCTAACACAGCCGCCTTTGTAAATGGCAAGACCCCCCCCCCATCCCACTACTGCCGGACTGAAGTCCAAATGCTGAGATTCCGTTGTTTTACTACAAAACTGTTGCATTTTAGGGTCGGACCACAATACCAAATTTCACCAGCAGGTGGCAGATCAATAATCATAATGGCTGCAGAAGGTTCGAAGACCTTGTAGTTTGAGGGCGGAGATCTTGCAAACCCAGTCTCTGAAAAAACTAAGCCATTGGCTGATTTAAAGTGAACTATATTGTATTATATCAAAATTCTAACAGGATAAAAGTCTGTCCTAAAAAAAGAGATCGCAAGAGCCTTGATACAACCTCTGAGTCCCTCTGGTTTAGTTTCACTTTGTTACAAGGGTCCTGATTTCCAGGTCGAGCTCTGCAGCCATGCAGGGCAGCTGTTAGAAACCACGGGGCCCCATACAGCCAACCTGACAGCCCCCCCCCCTCCCTCCAAAACAAACACAATTTACTATGCTTCAGTTATGGACACAGTGATTGATCAGTGCTGATCACTTATTGTGTTCATTCAGGAAAGCAAGGGGCTGGTAAATGTGACATATTTACCAGATCCTTCTCCCATTTTCCATCCTGAAGGATCCTATTGTGTGCTTGCAGCGGCCATTGGGAAGGAGAGAAGGGAAGCCGGCAGCACTGCGGGGGTGGGGGCACACAGGGGGGGCCTGGGCAGCAGGAGAAAATGTATGGTGCACAAGGATGGTGATTGGGGGGGGGGGGGGGGGGGGGGAGTGGGAAGCAATTACTGGAAATGATCCCCTGTCTGGAGCAGCTGAAAGCCAGCAAGAGGGAGAAGAAGATGATCCTGCAGAGAGAGCCATACAGGGGACTGGTTCCAGTAATTGCCCCCACCCACTGTGCCGATCATATTGACTTTTGCCCAGCTGCCTGGGCCCCCATGCTGGCTTGGTTCCAGTAATCCCCCCCCCCCCCAAACTGTGCCGATCATACTCACTTTCACCCAGCTGCCTGGGCCCCCATGCTGGCTTGGTTCCAGTAATTGCCCCCCCCCCCCCCAACTGTGCCGATCATACTCACTTTCACCCAGCTGCCTGGGCCCCCATGCTGGCTTGGTTCCAGTAATTTCCCCCCCCCCCCAAACTGTGCCGATCATACTCACTTTCACCCAGCTGCCTGGGCCCCCATGCTGGCCTGGGCTCTGTACAGGACTGGTGGTACCCTCCCTTAACCACGGCCCTACCGACACGTCCCACCATCCAATGGGTCTGCCTCGGTGTCCGGTAAGTGTGCCGCCATTGAACAGGGGGTGTTGGCTGTTGTTGGAGCTGCAGCAAAAGTCAGATCCCTGCAACAAAGTGAAACTAATTCAGAGAGGTGCACAGGCCCATGCCGGCCTGGGCTCCGTACAGGAGGACTTTGCTAGATCATCAGAACAAAATCAGGTAAGTGGTGTTAGGTACACAGCACATTGTCTTAGAGAATCACATTTGCCGAGGCGGAGGAATGCTTTAACCGGACGCCGACAGCCTTTGCCTGTTTTCAACCAAAAGGGAGTCCAGGTTAAAAACGTTATACGGAAATGGTCTTAATAAATCAATGGCGAGCAGCAGCGAGGTCTCCGGGGAATTAGCGGTGTGGTCGTTTTCCTTTCCATATTTCCTGCTCTGCACAATAACATCCTGCCACCCAAATCGGAGTGGAAATACTTTCCTCCAGGATACAGGAAGCGTGCCTCGTCTGTCAATTCTCCGTGTCATTCCAAAGTGAATCTGCATCCATTGGGGGAAGAAAAAAAAAAAACAAAAGAAAAAAACAAACAAACAAAAAAACAAAATCAAAACATTTTCTAAAGGATATCAGTTCTAATAAGATGAGCTCATCCAAAGCCAAAGTGTTTCCCTGTAGTACCCCAAACCTGGCAGGTGAGGCAGTATTGAGCTGATTGCACTCCCGTTCCTCAGGCGTTAAGGCAGTGATTTCCTCCAATCCGAGCAAACGATAGCGCCGGATCAGAATTGCTATCCGGGACATTCTTTTTGCTTGTGGAATGTTTAACCCCTTGGCTGCCAGAGGGGAATACAAGGCACTGCTTTGACAGCCAAAGCGCTAGCAGGCTTTCTGATTGAGAAGCAAAGAAGAGTGGCAGTAGAGATCTAAAGGCAGCAAATTTTCAACTATGACTTCGTGATTTAAAAAAAAAAAAATTGGGTAGGGCAGTGAAAAGATTTTTCCACAACTGTTTGGATAATAATGGATAAATACCCCAAAAACATGGAATCATGCCGAACTAGCCAAGTGGCAACTACGGGTTGGGAACACAAAAGGGGTGGGGGGGGGGGTGTCATACAAAGGAAGAATGGGTAAGCTAAAAACATAATGGGTACTGTGCATGCTGCGTGTCAGCCATGGCAAACGGGAATCGCCTGTCCAATCTACACTACACGGCGGAGCGATCTGTTACACAGTGCTGACAATATCCCGTGGAGGCATGAAAGCCAAGGAGGCTGTGGGAGGTTACAGTTCTTGGTTTCCCTGTTCCAGATTTTGAACTGTTACAACGCCCTTGCGGGTCGGTGAGAGTTCTCTGGAGAAAAAAAAAAAAAAAGGAAACTCAATGCCCCCCTTCGAAATAAAGGAAGTTCATATTTTCTTGGGCCTGCGGCCAACTTGGTAGTAGAAGTAGATGCTGACAAGGACGAAGAGGAGACAACAGCTGAGGAGGACAGCAGCAGCCATGGTGGCAGATCCACTCTCGATCACCGTCACTGTAGTAACTGTATGGGGGAGAAGAAGCGAATACTGTGAGGTGACATGTTTTAAGGTCAACTTGATGCAGAGTGAATTCATCTCTCTGGGGTGAAACCCCCCCCCCCCCCAGCATTCCCTAGAAGACCTTCTATCAGAGGCCCATCTTGAGGTCCCCAACCTTACCATTACTCTAAGAGACACAATCCATTTTTCTAAATATTTTTACAGCATGGAAAAAACATCTTTACACAGGAAAAAAAAACTGCATTGTATTGTGTATCCTCTAGTGCAGCCATTCTCAGCCAGAGTGCCTCCATAGTTTCCTTGGGCTGTGGCTCATTGACCTCCCATTTGATGGTGCCTGCATAGTTCCAGGACCAGCGACACTTGGAAAAGCCAGCGACAAAGACAATCATCGTTTCAGCTATTTGTAGGGGTGGCATACTGATCTCCACTGGAAAGAGGAACATTCTTCCCATTGACCACCAAAGCAAGGAACACTCTTCCTCTGACCACCAAAGCAAGGAACATTCTCCCTACTGACCACCAAAGTGAGGGACATTCTTCCCACTGACCACCAAAGTGAGGGACATTCTTCCCACTGACCACAAAGTGAGGGACATTCTTCCCACTGATCAAAGTAAGGGACATTCTTCCCACTGACCACTCAAAGTAAGGGACATTCTTCCCACTGACCACCAAAGTGTAAGGGGACATTCTTCCCACTGACCACCAATGTAAGGGACATTCTTCCCACTGACCACTAATGTAAGGGACATTCTTCCCACTGACCATCAATGTAAGGGGCATTCTTCCCACTGACCATCAATGTAAGGGGCATTCTTCCCACTGACCATGTAAGGGGCATTCTTCCCACTGACCACCAAAGTAAGGGCATTCACCCCACTGATCACCAATGTAAGGGGCATTCTTCCCACTGACCATCAATGTAAGGGGCATTCTTCCCACTGACCACCAATGTAAGGGCATTCTTCCCACTGACCATCAATGTAAGGGGCATTCTTCCCACTGACCACCAAAGTAAGGTAATTCACCCCACTGATCACCAATGTAAGGGCATTCTTCCCACTGACCATCAATGTAAGGGGCATTCTTCCACTGACCATCAATGTAAGGAGCATTCTTCCCACTGACCATCAATGTAAGGAGCATTCTTCCCACTGACCACAATGTAAGGGGACATTCTTCCCACTGACCATCAATGCAAGGGACATTCTTCCCACTGGCCACCAATGTAAGGAACATTCTCCTCTCACTGACCACCAAAGTAAGGGACATTCTTCCCACTGACCACCAAAGTGAGGGACATTCTTCCCACTGGCCATCAACGTAAGGAGCATTCTTCCCACTGACAATCAACGTAAGGGACATTCTTCCCACTGACCACCAATGTAAGGGACCATTCTTCCCACTGACCACCAATGTAAGGGGCATTCTTCTCACTGACCACCGATGTAAGGGACATTTTTCACTGTCCACTAATGATTTGGTTTTAGTAAGAGTTCCTCAAGACCTGAAAAGGACTTCAATGGTTCCTCTGTTTAACACTTTTGAGAAAGGCTGCTCTAGTGGATGGTCTATAAAAATACATAAATAAATCACACAGGTCAACTTTAAATCAAACATACCAGCTATTTTATTTTTCAAAAGTAAATGTTCTTTCTAAAAGCAGACACCCTATGGTACCTGCTATTACTTTATTAGCCAGACAAGTCTCTTCCGTGCATCCCTCTAATCCTAATTTTCAGGTCAAAGTGGACCTGAACTGAGAAAATGAATTTTCAATGTTATAGGGAACAGCTAGAAAATGTGAACAATGACTCAGCAGTACACCACAGAAATTGTACATTTGGTCTGGAATTGCCACCTGAAAAACAGTACACTTCCTGGTATGTAGGTATGCCTAGGCACTCCTTTGTCTACAGCCGTACACCTGCAGTGTGAGATCTAAAGCTCTGCTGCCTCTGACTGCTAGTCTCAGAAGATCTGATGATGTCACTGCTGTGCTGCTCCCTGTTCTCCTTGCTGGAGGCTGACATGAGGAAGCAAAGCCCTGCCTCTACCGAGATGGCCAACAATACACAGTGACACAGTGTAGAACAAGGCATGACCAGTCAGCAATGGAGAGAAGATCAGGTGAAGGAATACCACAGGCTAAGCTCCGTGGCTGGGGGTTAAGGCCAACGTTGGGAAACAAATTGAAACCAGCCTTAGAAAGGTGCACAGAGGACAGTCTCCTGGTCTACCACTGCAGCAGCAAGTACCACGTGACATCTACACATACTCAGGACTTTTGATTTGTTAAAAGACTAAGCTGGCAAAGTCCGTATGCTGTGGTGACATTTTTTGGGAACAGGTAGGCCAAGGGGCTCAGTTAAAACAGAGCGGCTTTCTCGATCCCCTTTTCATTGTACTTCACTGGGTTACACCATACTATGACCTGAACTTTATGAATGCGCTGTAAAATGCAGGGGTATTCAGGTTTCACTTTCCTACTGAGTTCTCTCTGATGAAAGCCCAAGTTTAGGGGAAAAGTTTACATTTAATGAGAGGTGTCCTTTGTGCTGGTGGCTGCTGACTTAAGTTAAAATCTGCTGTCCTCTGCCCACCCCAATTCCCCCGTAACGGTAATCTTCTGGTTCCCCTCTCCATTTTTGACCCCCTCCTCCATTCATTGTAGCTATATCTATGCTTCCTTCAATGAAAAGTGCTCTATGAATGGAGGGTCCATCTCCACCATTCATCGAGTTCTTTTCATTGAAGGAAGCCATAGACATAGCTACAATGAATGGAGGACAGGTGGCTAATGAAGGGTCCATCTCCACCATTTCATAGAGTGCTTTTCATTGAAGGAAGCCATAGATGTAGCTACAATGAATGGAGGACAGGTGGCTAACGAAGGGTCCATCTCCACCATTCATGAAGGAAGTGCTTTTCATTGGAGGAAGGTGGAAGCCATAGAGAGTGCTTTTCATGAAGGAAGCCATAGCATGCAATGAATGGAGGACAGGTGGCTAATGAAGGGTCCATCTCCACCATTCATAGAGCGCTTTTCATTGAAGGAAGCCATAGGCATAGCTACAATGAATGGAGAAGGGGGTGGAAAGGACAGGCATAGCCGACACTTTTGAGGGGGTGCCAGCGACAGGTCCAGTGCTCATATGCTCATATTAACCCCTGCAGCACTAACAGATGGGGGGGGGGGGGGGGGGGGGTAATGGTGGGAAAAGGATTTTTAGATTTCAACAAGGATGGATGACACCAGCACAAGGGACACATCACATTAAAAGTAAGCACCATCCCTTGTGCTGATTTTTTTTATTTACCTAAACTTAGCCCGATGTATGTTTGGTATTTTTTGATTGGTTTGATTTTTGAAGCCATGGTATGGATCCCATAAAGCCATAACAATGCTTTATGAATAAACTCCTAGGTGTAGCGGGACTTTGGCTGTACTAAACCCAACCCAGACTCGTCCAGGGCAAGGCTGGCGTTTATATGTCCACCTGCAGCAAGCCATAGGAAGACTCCTACAAAATCATAAGAATCTTACAGTGCAATAAAATGATTGCAAACCTCCGATATGAAAACCGCCATTATCCTTCTATAAAAAGTGTCCAAATCACCTAGTGTGATTTCGGACTCCTCCCCCATATTCCTCTGCTAGGAAATGGCCCCACCCAACTTTCCAGCAGAAAACAGGTGATTGACAGCCTCAGCTGCGCACGTTTCCCTATGAGACTGTGCAGAAAGGTGTGCGTCTAAGCCCTCCACTCAGATCTCAGATTACACTCAGCTCCCTGCTCTATGCTATGCAGTGTGTGACATCAGATCCCCACTCCCTGCCTTCTGGAGCCAAGAGAAAATCCTTTCATCGGTGTGTTTAAGGCCCCATTCACATCTGAGCGATTTTCTACTTGAAGCTTGTTGCTCTTAAAAACACTCAACAAGCCAAATCCCATTCATTTCAATGGGCCCTGTTCACAAATGAGCGTTCTCTTGCGGGAAGCAAAATGCCTGTCTCACAAAAAGCTTCTTTTTCGCAGATTACAAGCGTTTTTGGCCCCAGACTTTAATAGAAACACCTGAAAACGTGTGACATGAGCATTTTACAAGCATTTTGTCGCTCGTTTTCTGCCCAAACAGCAGACCTCCACCCCTAATTTCCATCCCCCTCTCCTCCCTCTAGTGCAGTGGTTCTCAACCTGTGGGTCGCGACCCCTTTGGGGCTCGAACGACCCTTTCACAGGGGTTGCCTAAGACCATCGGAAAACACATATTTCTGATGTGTAAAGAGCAGCTACTGTGCTGAAAGCAGCTACTAAGCAGCTACTGTGCTGAAAGCAGCTACTAAGCAGCTACTGTGCTGAAAGCAGCTACTGTGCTAAGCAGCTACTGTGCTGAAAGCAGCTACTGTGCTGAAAGCAGCTACTAAGCAGCTACTGTGCTGAAAGCAGCTACTGTGCTGAAAGCAGCTACTGTGCTGAAAGCAGCTACTAAGCAGCTACTGTGCTGAAAGCAGCTACTGTGCTGAAAGCAGCTACTGTGCTGAAAGCAGCTACTGTGCTGAAAGCAGCTACTGTGCTGAAAGCAGCTACTGTGCTGAAAGCAGCTACTGTGCTGAAAGCAGCAGTATTGGAGGTAAAATGACACTTCATGAATTATAATTACTGGGTAAACAATTTTATGGTTGGGGGTCACCACAACATGAGGAACTGTATTAAAGGGTCGCAGCATTAGAAAGCTTGAGAACCACTGCTCTAGTGCTTTCTATTGGCTAAACAAAAGCGCCTGAAGCTGTAAAACGCTTGTAATACCCTTCTAAAAACTCTCAAAAAAACCCAAAAAACATGCTAGTAAATCGCTCAGTTGTGATTGCAGCCTTAAAAGTGCGTAGAGAAGACAGCGCAACAGATAAACAGGTACAACTTATGTAGGAGGATTTGTTTCATCTCTGTATCACCTGAGGCCAGTCACATCACTGGGTTCAACCACTTTCATTCTGGGATTTAGAAGATAAAAAAATCAGGTAGAATTTTCCTTTTTGGCCGGATAGGAACTCACCGATAAGCTGTATGCTGAAGTAACAAGCTTCTGTGAGTAGCGTCCAGCGAATGATCACCTTCTCTACCGTGTACATGGAATTCCATAAAATTAATGAGATGCCTGAAAAGCAACAAAGATTTTATTAGATAATTACTTTGTAAATGAACACCAAAAAAAGCTTATTAAACAGTCATAAGGGGGGGGGGGGGGTGGCAAGGGGGGACTGACAACTCATGGGGGCCCGGGCTAGGGGATCATGGGGCCCCTGTGTCCTTACCCAAACTCAAAAAATCCTATGAAAAAGGTACCAGGGGCATCTCATTGGGCCCCCTACTGACCCCGGGCCCTCAGGCAGTGCCCGAGTTTCCAAATGGTCAGTCCGCCCCTGGGTGCGGGAAACTATATCCACCAATCAGAAATCAGCTGTAAACTAACTTGACTGCAGACAGATGAAAACTGATTGCATTCTACTTGTGTCATGTCTGCTTTTATTAAGTCCAAACTATGATCTGTAGTAAGCCGGATAGCCTGGCAGTACTCAGGTCGTTGGTTTGAATCCCAACCACGGCACCACCTGCCTGGAGTTTGCATGTTCTCCCTGTTCTTCGGTTTCCTCTGACACTCCAAAGACATGCTGGTAGGTTAATTGGATCCTGTCTAAGGCTTGGTTCCCACCTATGCAGTTTGCGTTTGACCCATTTCTGCCTTGCATCAAAAACACAGCTGCAAAAACGCAACGCAAGGCAGAAATGGGTCAAACGCAAACTGCATAGGTGGGAACCAAGCCTTAGACAGGATCCAATTAACCTACCAGCATGTCTTTGGAGTGTGGGAGGAAACCGGAGTCCCCAGAGGAAAACCCGCACAGGGAGAACTTGCAAACTCCAGGCAGGTGGTGCTGTTCTTTTGAACGCAAAACATAGCGTTTTTGGTTCTATAGACGTCAATGGAAATGCTGCAGAAAAGCATGTAGTGTGTTTTTGTTGCTTTTTTGACACGTTTTTGATGCATTTTACTTTTTAAATCTGCTTAGCAACAAGAAAAATAAAAAATAAAACAAAATGTATCAAAAATGCATCAAAAACACAGCTGCAAAAACGCAACACGTTTTTGATACATTTTGTTTTATTTTTCTTGTTGCTAGGCAGATTTAAAATGTAAAAGGCATCAAAAACGTGGCAAAAATGCATCAAAAGCACACTACATGCTTTTCTGCAGAATTTCCATTGACGTCTATAGAACCAAAAACGCTCAGAAGTACAGCATCACCTGCCTGGAGTTTGCAAGTTCTCCCCATGCGGGTTTTCCTCTGGGAACTCCGGTTTCCTCCCACACTCCAAAGACATGCTGGGAGGTTAATTGGATCTTGTCTAAGGCTTGGTTCCCACCTATGCAGTTTGCGTTTGACCCATTTCTGCCTTGCATTGCGTTTTTGACGCGTTTTTGAGGCATTTTGTTTTATTTGTTATTTTTCTTGTTGCTAGGCAGATTTAAAATGTAAAAGGCATCAAAAACGTGGCAAAAATGCATCGAAAGCACACTACATGCTTTTCTGCAGCATTTCCATTGACGTCTATAGAACCAAAAACACTATGTCTTGCTTTCAGAAGTACAGCACCACCTGCCTGGAGTTTGCAAGTCCTCCCCGTGCGGGTTTTCCTCTGGGAACTCCGGTTTCCTCCCACACTCCAAAGACATGCAGTTTGCGTTTGACCCATTTCTGCCTTGCGTTGCGTTTTTGCAGCTGTGTTTTTGACGTGTTTTTGAGGCATTTTGTTTTATTTTTGATTTTTCTTGTTGCTAGGCAGATTTAAAATGTAAAAGGCATCAAAAACGCGGCAAAAATGCATGAAAGCGCACTACATGCTTTTCTGTAGCATTTCCATTGACGTCTATAGAACCAAAAATGCTATGTTTTGCGTTCAGAAGTACAGCACCACCTGCCTGGAGTTTGCAAGTTCTCCCCGTGCGGGATTTCCTCTGGGGATTCCGGTGATCCGTCTGTGTGTGGTGGCTCTTGATGCACTGACTCCAGCCTCAGTCCACTCCTTGTGAAAGTCCCCAACACTTTTGAATGGCCTTTTCCTGACAATCCTCTCCAGGCTGCGGTCATCCCTGCTGCTTGTGCACCTTTTTCTTCCACACTTTTCCCTTCCACATAACTTTCTATTAATGTGCTTTGATACAGCACTTTGGGAACATCCAACTTCTTTTGCAATTACCTTTTGAGGCTTTCCCTCCTTATGGAGGGTGTCAATGATGGTGTCAGGTCAGCAGTCTTTCCCATGATTGTGATTCCTACTGAACCAGACTGAGAGACCATTTAAAGGCTCAGGAACCCTTTGCAGGTGGTTTGGCTTAATCAGCTGATTAGAGTGGGACACTTTGAGCCGAGAATATTGCACCTTTTCACAATATTCTCATTTTCTGAGATTGTGGATTTGGGGTTTTCATGAGCTGTAAGCCATAATCATCACAATGATGACAAATCACGGCTTGAACTATCTTGCTTTGCATGTAATGAGTCTCATATATTAGTTTCACCTTCTAAGTTGCTGCACTGAAATAAATGAACTTTTGCACCATATTCTCATTTTTCGAGTTTCACCTGTAGAGCAAACTGGCCAGCAATACTCACTGAACAAGGCTCCTCCATAGAGGCGGGTGGACGTTTTGCTGCTCACTGTGCCTTTGTTAAAGACGGCTTCATACATCTGGTCCGGAAAGGCCAGAGCCTGCAAAGGAAACCAAATGTGAAGGTAAACATCATATAAAGAAGCTCATGGTAAGTATATGTCCGCCAAGTGTAACACTTCCAGCTATTCATAACCCCTTACAGCGATCACAATACTCTGGACAATGCCTTCATCTGCTTTTCTCTCCAGAAGGACAGAGCCATCTTTGTTCAGGCATCATCCAGGGTCACCATTTGCTTCCTGAACTGAGATATTGGCTCAAAGATGGCCACACCATGTAACTTCTGGTGTCTATGGAGTTCTTGGCGGTGATCAACAAATGTCTGACACATATCAGCCCCTGCTGCAGCCTCTCACCTTGTGACTTGCTAAAAAGAAAAAAAAAAAAAAGAAAAAAAAAAAAGGTACATTGAGTCTGATCACTGGGAGTGGGAGGAAAGCCGCTGAATGGAGTATAAAGTGGTTGTAAACCCTTACATATACAATTGTGCTCAAAAGTGTGCATACCCTGGCAGCAGTCCTGAACTTTTGGCATTGATATTAAAAATGTGATTGATCCTGCCAAAAAAAGGTATTTTATATAAAGATAGGGACCACATGAAGCCATTTATTATCACAGAGTTGTTTGGCTCCTTTTTAAATCATGATAACAGAAATCGGCAAAATGGCCCAGATCACAAGTCTCCATCCCCTGGAATGTTTGGCCTTGGTACAGACCAGGGGCGGACTGACCATTCGGGCACTGCCCGAGGGCCCGGGGTCAGTAGGGGGCCCATGAGATTCCCCTAGTACCTTTCATAGGCCTTTTTGGGTGTGGTTTGAGTGTGGACTAGGACACAGGGGCCCCATGATCCCCTATTGCCCGGGGGCCCCATGAGTTGTCAGTCCGCCTCTGGTACAGATACACAAGGTGACACACACGGATTAAAATGGCAATTAAAGGTTAATTTCCCACATCTGGGGCTTTTTAAATTACAAATAGTGTCAGATCATAAATAGTCAATGAGTTTTTAGCTCTCACGTGAATGCACTGGTCAAGCTAGACACTGAGCCATGGGGAGCAGAAAAGAACTGTCAACAGACCTGTGTAACAAGGTAATGGAAGTTTAGAAAGATGAAAAAGGATATAAAATGATATCCAAAGCCTTGAATATGCCAGCCAGTAACATTCAATCACTTATTAACTACCTGCCGACCGCAGAATAGCCGAATGACGGCTAAACTGCGGCCGGCCAGTTCTGAGTGGACGTCATATGATGTCCTCCCAGAACGCGCTCTCCTGCGCGCCCCAGGGGGCGCGCACCCGGCGATCTCCGTGATCGCTGTGTCCTACGGACACAACTGATCACGTGATGTGGTAAAAGGCCAATCACAGCGGCCTTTTACCACTTGATCAGCGGTGTCCAATGACACGCTGATCAGAGGGAAATGCAAGTGCCGGTTCTCGGCTGCACTTTCCTCACGCTGTCAGATCGTGAGGAAAGTACTGCCGAGAACCCCGGCAGTTGTCAGAGCGGGGATCGGCACCGATCATCAGGGCACTGATGATCAGTGCCCTGATGATCGGTGCCCAGCAGTGCCACCCGCAAGTTCCGCCCACCTGTGCCCAGCAGTGCGCCCACTAGCTCCGCCCAGCCCACCTGTGCCCAGCAGATCACCCAACTGTGCCCAGCAGTGCACCCACCTGTGCCACTCTGCAGTGTCACACACCCACCTGTGCCCCTGAAGTGTCCACCTACCTGTGCCCAGCAGTGCCACCTACCTGTGCCCAACCACCTGTGCCCACCAGTGCCACCCACCTGTGCCCACCCACCTGTGCCCAGTGCCCCCACCAGTGCAGCCCAGCAGCGCTGCCAGTCAGTGCCCAGGGGTTGTGCCAGTCAGTGCCCAGGGGTTGTGCCAGTCAGTGCCCAGGGGTTGTGCCAGTCAGTGCCCAGGGGTTGTGCCAGTCAGTGCCGTCTATCAGTGCCGTCCATCAGTACCGCCTCATCAGTGCCACCTATCAGTGCCGCCTATCAGTGCCGCCTATCAGTGCCACCATCCGTGCCACCTCATTAGTACTGCCTATCAGTGCCCCTTTAGTGCTGCCTATATCAGTGCACCTATCAGTGCCCATCAGTGCTGCCTCATCAACGCACATCAGTAAAGGAGAAAAAATACCCGTTTGAAAAATTTTATAATAGAAACAAAGAAACTTTTTTTTTTTTTCAAATTTTTTGCATTTTTTTTTTTATAGCGCCAAAAAGTAAAGCGCCCAGTGGCGATTAAATACCACCAAAAGAAAGCTCTATTTGTGAGAAAAAAATGATCAAAATTTCATATGGGTACAATGTTGCATGACCACGCAATTGTCAATCAAAGTGCGGCAGCGCTGAAAGCTGAAAATTGGCCTGGTAAATAAGGGGTAGAAGTGCCTGGTAGGCAAGTGGTTAAGAAGTGGAACATTTGGGGATCTCTTGATACCAAGCCAAGGTCTGGTAGACCAAGAAAGACTCCAGCCACAACTGCCAGAAGAATTGTTCAGGATACAAAGAAAAACCCCACAGGTAACCTCAGGAGAAATACAGGCTGCTCTGAAATAAGACGATGGGGTTTCAAGGAGCACAATATGATGATACTTGAACAAAAATTAGCTGCATGGTCAAGTTACCAGAAAGAAGCCTTTACTGCGCCAATGCCACAAAAAGCCCGGCTACAATATGCCTGACAACAGCTTGATGCACCTCATAGTTTCTGGCATCGGTCATCTGGAGTGAAGAGACCTAAATAGAGCTTTATGGTCACAAACACAAGTGTTATGTTTGGAGAGTCAACACCACCTTGACAAACTTGGCACTATATTTCAAATTTCAGTGTTTTTGGTTTGATTATATTATTGAATTACATTTATAATTATATTATTTGTTTTTTATGATTATTTAATAAATTATAATTTATGATTTGTGTTTCAAATTTTATCCTACTCGGGATGTTTACTAGACTCTTGTCCGGACAGATTTCAGTGAGTTATTCCTAAAAATTACAGCCTACAATAAAAAAAATACATATTTCCATGCAAAAAAATGTACCGCTTTGAGCACAGAAATATGGACATAATCAGACCGCTAGGGAGGCTACCAACTAAGGGGATGCAGACTATTGAAAATGCGTCATTTCATTGGTTTTGTTTCCTGATTGGGCCATTCAGTTATCACCTACAGTTACAGAATAAGAATCCCATAAGAAATAAGAGGAATGGGTTTTGAGGCTCACTCATGTCTTCTTTAAAAATGGTACATCCCGTATATTAACGATTCTCCAAACTTTTAAGCACAACTGTACCTAGTTCACACCAAAGCATTGCATTGTTGTGCGCTCAGGAAAAATGTAGACTGGGGCATGTAAAAACAGGCGGTTGGCCTGTAGTCTTACCGCCTCCCTGACCGCCCATCTAAAAGCCCAACATAACATGAACAGGCAGCAATGGGGCGACGCTGGAAACACCAATCCAAATGCTTGGGTGGTGGTTGCTCAGCATTAGTTCCATTTAAAAAACTAAAATTAAAACCCAACTTCAGGCAAAAAAAAAGTTCCCATGCAGTGGGGACTGAGCCAACGCAACACGGGTCAACTGCTTGTTATAGTCTAGGGCAGGGGTGGGCAAACTTTTTGACTTGAGGGCCGCAATGGGTTCATATATTGGACCCGGGGGCCGGACCAAGAGTAGATGAATGATGTGTATGTGTCATCCATAGTAAGTATAGTAATATTCCCCCATAGTAAGCATAGTAATTCATCATCCCCCATATAGTAATCATCATCCCCCCATATAGTAATTCATCCCCCCATATAGTAATTCATCCCCCCCCCCATATAGTAATTCATCCCCCATATAGTAATTCATCCCCCATATAGTAATTCATCCCCCATATAGTAATTCATCCCCCATATAGTAATTCATCCCCCATAGTAATTCATCCCCCATAGTAATTCATCCCCCATATTAATTCATTCCCCCATATTAATTCATTCCCCATATTAATTCATCCCCCATATTAATTCATCCCCCCCCCATATTAAGTCCCCAAGTCCCCCTGTGTCAATTCACTTACCTTTGCTCCGCGTGTTCCTCTCGCCGTGTTCCCGCGCCGTTCCGGTGTAGCATGAAAATCTGTCTCCTATGAGGATCTGTCCCCCTCGACGTATCTGCGCATGTGCCAGTTTCAGGCATTAGCAGCCGATCGGCGATCTCCGGCACATGCGCAGATACGTCGAGGGGGACAGATCCTCATAGGAGACAGATTTTCATGCTACACCGGTCTTCAGGGTGGACTGTGAGAGGAGCCTAGCGGGAGCCTAGCTCCGCGGGCCGGATTAAAAGGTCCGCCGGACCGTATACGGCCCGCGGGCCATAGTTTGCCCATTGCTGGTCTAGGGCAACAGTCTCCGAATTGCGGCACTTTGCTTGCCTTTATCTGGCCTTTGAGGTATTATTTGTACCACTGACACCAAACAGGAGGGCACTATTTCTCCCACTGACACCAATGATGGGGCACTCCCCCTAATAAGAGATAAGAGGGGAACATTGGAAGAAGGGAGGGAACAGAGAAGACAGGATCAAACAGCATTTTTACGCAATGCAGAGAATTAACCCCTTAGGTTCCACAGTGAGTATAACAAGCACGCTTTACTGCATATACAGACTGATTGTACTGTTGTGGGTTTAGTAACACTAACATCCATCATGGCTTTGCAGCATTCTACAGTGCAAATTATACACACACATATATATACACACACACGTATTATTATACAGTATTTATAAAGCGCCAATAGTTCGCTCAGCGCTGTACATTACAAAGGGGGACAGAACATGTGACAGAACAATACCAATACAATGCAAAACATGAGGGGATCGAGGGCCCTGCTCTTTGGAGCTTACAATCTAGGAGGGAGGGGATGGTGGCACAGGAGGAGATAGCTGTGGGGGATGGAGTGGTAGGAAGAGTGGAGGAGGTCAGCAAGTTAGCAGGGGGTGG